ACAACTGGTAGGTGAATTAGGGGTATATTGTTCCATAACATTCCAACAGTTCTACCCATAAATGGCAACAACCATATGGCTGCAGAAAATTTGAAAACTTGTTCTGAATTATTGATTTGAGTATTTTTCCCTAACGGATTATTTCCATTTTTGAGTGATAGAGCATAAAAATTCTTCATCGTCTTAGTAAATGTGATTTTTTTTATACTTACCATCAAATTTACACGTTATTGGTTTCAACCTCTTGTTTTTTATATACTAAAAAGCTGCTCAATTCCAAAACATTTATAAAACATCAACTATTTTTTTTTTTAAATTAAACATAAATTCTGTGTATATACTTCTAATTTTTCTTTTAACAAAGCATCTAATTTTATATAACTGCCTCTTTTTTTAGTTTTTTATTATTTTTCATGATATTAATTTTCTCAAAAGTGTGTTCCATGTTGTTTATGTTTGTTGATTTTTACTCATTGCAAATAAATTTAATTTATGGGCTAAATCATTAAAAAAAAGCTTGAACTTTAATGTTATTGACAAATTTAGTCAATACTTTTAATTTTATCAATTACTACCTTATAAATATCTATTTTCCTTACCCATTATAGCCTTCATTCAGAGTCCATTAATTTATTGCTTGGTTGGCTTTACAGCAAGCCATCTCACATCCATGTGGCTATTCTTTGTCTATTCATCCTTGATTTTGAAATTTCTAAGTTGGAATATTACTTTATTAAGAAAATTTCCTTTCCATCCCACCACAAGTTTGAAACAATTTAGTATGATATTATCACTAACAGACTTTTGATTGATCCTTAGCAAGCAACTCGCTTCGTCAGTAGTCCCAAGATTCAACAAGTATGGGTGAGCAATCGGGCGATTCGATTCCAAACCAAACTGAACCGAAAAACCAAAAACTAAAAATATTATTTTTAAACTATCTAATCCAAACCAAAATCATTTTGGTAACCAATTATGACCGAACCGTAATTTTCAGTTTGGTTTGATTCTGATACCGAATATCTGAATTTATTTTTTCACTCATTTTAATTTTAAATATAGACAAAAATATATAATTTAATATCCAATTTAGAAGCTACAAATTAATAAAATAGTTTCAATTATTGCTTTAAACTAAAATCCACAAACTACAATAATAAATTAACATTCCAAATCCATAAGCATTTGACAAACAATAACAAATTAACAATTTAAAATCCACAAATTAAACAAGTTAATAATTACATTTGACAAACAATAACAAATTAACAATTTAAAATCCACAAATTAAACAAGTTAATAATTAAAGTATGGAAAAGACAACAAATTAATAAGTAACCAAGTTGACACAATAAAACAACAAGTTAATAATAACTCCAAGCTTGATCATCAAATTCCATCTAGTAGGCACAATGTCCATAATCCTAAAAGTTTACAAGTTCGTCATTTCTCCAAACCTAAAAAAAATGTTAGAAATAATTAATAATTAATTAGAAAAAGAATATATAAGTTGAAACACCCTGAATTTTTATTTTCGAAACTTTTGAATTTTTATTAAATCAAAAATTTGAATTTTTGACGGTATGGGCCGTAAATAGTGAACAATCAATTTTAATTTTTGAGTTCAAGTTTTTGCAAATTAGGACCAAGCCCAAATATAATGTCGAAATTTTTGAATCTGGAGAAACAATTAAATTTTTGACCGTAATAATTATGAAAGTTCCAGCAAATTAATCATATTATGTATATATATAAAACCAATTATTCCTAAAAATCAAATATTGATTACTAACTATATTTTTTTATTTTTTTTATTTAGTTAATGGAGTAAATGTTATGAAACCTAATTATATAATTAAAAAAATTGCAAACCGGACCCGAAAACTCAGATTTGATTTTTTAGAAAACCACACGAATAAAATCCGAAAACCAAGTTGAAAAACCATGCAAACTGGCAAGAAACCGCAGCAATAATCATTACAATTTAGATCGAAACCGGTTCGAACGAAACCGGAATGCGTCTAGGAAGCGTAGCCTTCTTTCTTTCTTTCTTTTTTTTCTTTTCCTTTTCTTTCCTTCTTCTTCTCCAGTCGCGCGATCCCTCCCTCTCCCCTCCTACGGTTCTCCGATCCGCGCGATCCCTCCCCTCTCCCTCCACGTTCTCCGATCACTGCACGACCAGGGTGGGTGGCGACTGCCTCCTAAAGCCTTAACGACCACGATTCTGGCCTCCTTTCACGCGGAAAGAGTCCCCCATCGGCGCGAAATGGGACTGTCACTCCGACAGCTCCCAGTTTGGATTTCCGTTGATCAAGCTTGATCCAGGCAGTTGATGGCCACCAGGTGAGCTCCGATCGATTCCTCCGCTTTGTGTGAACGATTTCCATCCAAGAAACGATGGTTTTGGTGGAAGAAATTGAAAACACCATGGTCGGCGGCGAGGAAGGGTCTGTCGGGCTTGTTCCTGCCAAACGAGCCACCGGCTCAACAAACACAAACCGATTTATCAGATTTGGACTCCTCTCGAAAATTGGAGTCGGATTTTGGTGGTGACCTTGCCAATTTTCTGGGCGGTTTAAATTTTCCGGCACGTGGCACGGGCGGCTTGGCCGACGGCGGTCCGGTGATCCGCGACCGGCGGACACTCCGGCGAGGCCCCAAGAGGCAGAATGATCCTCCACTTTCGCGGTTGGTGATCATGGAATTGAGGTCCGATTCTCAAACGGCTACGGCCCTAATACCTATTTTCCTAAATTTTTGTTTTTAAACTCCAAATTTTAAAACTATTAATTGATAAGTTGAAATCAAATATAATCCTTTGCTTTATGAAATTAATTAACTTCGATATAATGTAGTTTACAAATTAATTTTGAACATTTTAACATAAATTACATGGTTATTGCTTATGAAAATAGGTGAATTGAGGGGGAAAACTAAATTAGAATTTAAGTTAATTAGTTAATTAGGATAAATCATTAGTTTCACAAAACTAACCGATTGTGCATAGAAAAGTGAGGCAAATTTTTAGTTTGGTTAACGGTTTTAGTATCCGAAAATTTTGATTAATCAGATTTGGAGGCCCCTAGCCATTTGTTGATTATTGATATAAAAACCGAATTCTTAATACGGTAGTAGTTATACATTAGTTACTTTGTTAAAATATGTTTTTAGCTTGCTTAACAAAATTAGTTACAGGTAAATACTAATAATTTAGTTAACTAATGACTAATAAATGATCTTATACTTGGATATTATTAGAAATAGTTTTGTAAATTTTTTGATGGAGTGTTGATATTGGCTTTTTGGAAGGAGGATGGGATTTTAAATTTGATTGATTGCCCGGACGGAATGGGCTTGTGTGCACTGATTGATAAAGATTTATGATAATTAATTGTGATATTTGCAGCATGTAGATAGCCCAATTTTTAGGGGAGGTTGCTTGTCGAGAATTTTTGACAGAATTAGACAAATTTTTAATTTAATAACATAACAAATAAGCTATTAGGATAAATTTTTTCTACAATTTGATACTAATAAATAAAGTGCTTTTAACTACCTTGTCATTATATAGTTATTATTATTATTATTATTTATTTTATTCGTTGCTGTTATTGTTAAATATTATTTATTCTAATTATTTAATTGCATTTGAGAATGGATGTTTAATTGTACATTGCAGTCCCAATATGTAATTGATCGATATGTCTGCATTTAATCGCAATGTTTGATTACATTGTGTTGTGATATTCGCTGGTGCTTTGCTTGTGTGGAATTTGGGATGAAGTGGGTCACCATGGGTTTGTGAGACCGTTACCGTTATATGGATCCTGATTACCGTTACCGTTATATACCGTACTGTTATGATGGGATCCATTACCGTTTAGCGGGTAAAATGGGAAGATCGGCGCCCCCGTGTGCACCCTACCGTTACCGTTTACCGTTAACCACGGGTTGACTTCTCGTCGTGCGCACCGGACAGTCTAGATTTGATCGCAGCCCGCAGGGTGGCCTCCTGTTGTGAGCGCTTGATGATCTAGATTTGGGATGGAGACCACCGGGTTGCTCCTGTTTGGTTTATGAAAAAAGAAAAGAGAGAATGGAAAAAAAAAATGAGAGCTGGGGTCAAGTGAGGATTAGACCGGTCGGCCAGTATGGGGGATCGGCTCCCTGGTGCCACACGTGAGAGGATGGGGCCATGTGGGAGGACGGCTCATCGGGGGTCGGGTTGACTCCACTGGACTAATTTCCACCGCTTGATATTGATCTATATGAAGATGTTAATAATTGTGAGTGCTTGGATATGCCATTTGTGTGAGCTGGCTGTGTGAGCATATAAACTAGTCGGATGACTACGATTGATAGTATTCAATACATTTGTGTGAATGCGTGTGTATTGTGCAATAATTATTATTCATTAATAAACTCACATCTCTTGTTTAAATCTTCCAGGAAGTAGCATTTTCTAAATCCCAGCTATAACTCTACTCCTTCACTGTTAAAAAGAGATTCTTTAATTTTAATGTTGATATATTAAGTAGATAAATGTCTAAAGACTTATCTGTATACATCTGTTAGTGAATTCCGCAGTTGTAGAATTTGTGTGCAATTAGTCGTGTATTAACATAGACGATGTAATTATGTGAGCCTATATTAAAAATATAATGTATTGTTAATTGGGCCCGAACTGTGGAAATGTTGTAATTGATAAATTTGGGCCGAAATTTAATAGAATCTTAAGGTTTATTTTTCTATAATTATAGGCTTAAGGCTTTTAATTTTTCTATAATTATAAGGCTGAAATGTTTTAATATATATTGGAGATAATAGTTATTAAATATTGAGATAATAGTTATTAGTGATTCAGGCTTACTACGGGCCTCGGGGGCCTTAAGCTTACCTGGGCCCTAGTGCCGGTCCGGCCCATGGAAACGGGTCGTGACATAAGTATTCCTCATATATAGTTATGGAGCCTATATACATAATAATACTAAGATTATAACTTATTAAATATCAATCAACCTTTTTTAAAATAAATCAACTAGTAGCATTTGATGCTGTAGCACCAATTGCAATTCCAACCGGAGGTAGAGCTGAAAATTAAAACCAAACAATTATCAACACATATGCTCAAATGAAAATATTGAATAAGATAAAACAAACAATGATATTTTGATTTTATCACATACCTTTTGAAGTTGTTCAAGTTCTTCTATATCTTCTTCAATATTTATATAAGATGATCGAAGCCAATCTTGTGCACATATCAATCTCTCCACTATTTTAGGAGTCAAAGATCTCCTAAATGAGTCAAGCACTCTTCATCCGATGCTAAAAGCACTCTCTGAAGTCACTGTCGATACAGGAACTACCAATATATCTCTAGCCATTCTTCCTAGGATAAGAAATCTCTCACAATTAATCTTCTACCATTTTAAGATATCAAAACCTTCTTTGTCATCTTGAATTGCTTCACTAAGACAAACATCTAACTCAGTTTTTGCTTCGCTACCACCAGAATCTGAAAGTTTTTGCTTTTTATATTGTTGCTTCAAAAAAGATTTTGGCTTTGCACTTATTATGCCAAGATCAATGCTACCGGTACTTACTTGAGATCCACCGCTGTTAGTAGACTGATCATGCTCAGGTGGATACATATTTTTGTACTCATTGAATAATTCTCTCACGGAGCTTTTCACACTTATAAACAAACTTTCACCCTTTTCCTTGCCATACATCTTCTCAAATGCATACTCCATGTACTCAAATTTATCACGAGGGTCAAGAACAACTGCTACATAAATACGTTTATTCATTTTGGTTATATCGCCCTAATAATTATTAAATTTGGCCCTCACTTTATCACCCATAAACTTCACATCTTTTTATACATTATTCTGCCATTCACTTAAAATAAAACACAAATCACAAATCTCACTAAAGAACAAGTTGGATGTGAGTTGCGCTGTGGGACATAACTTGAACCAGATATACGCAAAGTAACGCTCAATACAGAAAATTAGCATAACATATCAGCCATTTTTCTAACTTCTTCCCGAATCCAATGGTCGGGAATCCTTGGATGTGACATACCTTGAACCAGATATACGCAAAGTAAGCTCATAGAAATTAGATAACATATCAGCCATTTTTCTAACTTCTTCCCAATCCAAATGGTCGGGAATCTTTTCATCTAACTCACTCTTAAAAATTGGTTCCTACGACTCGTATCTCTCATATGCTCTCTCATATTTTTCTGCTATTTTTAACATTAAATATGTAGAATTCCATCTAGTAGGCACATCCAAACATAAAGATGACTTGCATTCAATTTTTTCATATTCAACACACTCTTTAAATTTTTTCAATCTAGCTGGAAAACTCCGAATATATCTCACTGCATTCCTTACCCTTGTCACTGACTCATTCACATATTTTAATCCATCCATTATAACCAAATTAACAATATGTGCCATACATCTCGTGTGAAGATAATCACAATTACACACACCAACATTTCAATTAATAAATTTCTTTTTCAAATAAGAAATAACAACACCATTTGAACTAGCATTGTCAATAGTAATAGTAAAAACTTTATCCACGCGCCATTCAAGCAAACAAATTTCAATTACCCTACCAATTGTCTCACTTTTATGACTTGAAATTGTACAAAAATTAATAATTTTTTGTTTAAATTCCAATCTTCATCAATATAATGCAACGTGATACACATATAGTTAATTCTTTGGCATAAAGTCCAAGTATCCGTAGTTAAGCAAATCCGTTGACAATTCTTTCTAAAAAAACTTTCAATTTAGACCTCTCATTCAAATACAATTGGTAACAATCTTGAGAAACTGTCCAACGAGATAAAATTTTAAACCTAGGGCATACGACTTTTATAAATCGCTTAAAATCCTCACCTTCAACAAACTGAAAAGGTAATTCATTCACAACAACCATAAATGCAAGAGCCTCCCTAATTGCATTTTCGTCATACTTTCAAGTACTAAGTATGCCTACATCTCCCTAATTAGGATTTGAAATACTTTGGAAGGATAATTGTGTGGTTTTGTGTCAATTGCATATGAATGATTCTTACAAGAATTCATGTGATTCCTAAGTGCAGATGTGCCATTCTTTCTTGTATTATAACAGAATTCTTTACTACAATAATTACACTTACATTTTTCTTCTCCCCCCTTACTAATGTACCTTATGAAATGATTCCAAACAGCAGACCTTGGCTTTATTGGCTTTCTCAAATTCCTTGATGCAATTTCAGCTTCACTTTGAGTTAAGTTGGGGTTGGATGAACTCATGAGCTCCTCAAGAGGAGTAGATGAACTCATTTTAGCTACTATATACTGCAAAAATGAAAAAGCAAGGAATAAAATCAATAATTATCTTAATCTTATTTAATTGATTAGTATGCAATGTCAGGAGAATGACTTGACCCATAAAGAAGATGATGTTCCTTCACTTTGATTTACTAATTATTAAATCTAATTTAATTATCTTCTTAACAACAAAAATATCAATAGCACAAAAACAATCAAAAGTAAGAGGCTAACAAGAATAATGAATCATGCTTCAACTGTCAATGTGATGGACACTGCAATTAGTTAATTGTTTGCTTCCACATTGTTGATTGTCAGAATTAGAAATGGAGTTCCAATTAAAGTCTCATCTATAACTTTATTATTTCTTTTTATGTTTCGTAAACAAAAAACTAGAGATTCAGCTAGAAACAAATAAACTAGAGTTATATAAGTTTTGCATTATTCAGTGTGTAAAGTACTCTTAATTAATAAATTAAATTTTGTTCTTGAATTGTTTATTTGCAGGCTTATGTCTTTGAATTGTTTTCTTTTGAGTGGATTTCTTTGTAAGATAAACATCTCTCTATCGTATCAATCATATTAATTTTGATTCCTATTATTTTTTATTATTTCAAAAAAAAATCTTAATTTAGATTAAGGGACGACTAAATTACAAATATCCATATAAATTTAGGGTGGCTATTATTGAAAGTATTTATCCACTTATAACCTCCGGGTAAATTAATCCCATTGATGTAAATGAGTGAAGGCACTGCTTCATGCAAACAAACAAAAAATAAATACAAGAATTGAAAGCAAAAGGAAAAAAAAAAAAACAAAAAACAAAACTACAGAATCAAAGAAAAATGTAAAACAAAAAATTGAAAGGAAAAGGTTAAAGAAAATCAAAACGAAAAAGAAAAAAAAAATAATAGATCAACCTTCAAACTTCGAAGAAAAAGGAAAATAAAATATGAAAGGATAAAGCAAAAAAAACAAACAAATCGATTTAAAAAAATGAAAAGAAAATATGAAAGGAAAAAAAAAACTGACCTGATTGGAGTAGACAGCAGCTTCGTGCAATGAGTTTAGTCGGAAAAGATGATCGATTATGAGAATTGAGAATAGAGAAGAAAGAGATTTGGTGCTGCACAAATCTGAATAGCGAGGAGGAGAGGGTCCAGAGAGGGATTAAGAAGGGAAAAGGAAAACACAAGGTTTAGTATGTTAGCTGTGTAAATTAAAATGCAGCGTTTTAATTTGCAGTTCGGTTCGGTTAACAGTAAATTTTTCATCCAAAATTGAACCAAACCAAAAACCCAAAATTATTTCCAATTAAAAACCGTAACCGTTCCGTAAATCGAAAAACCAAAAAAAATAATCGAAATTAATTGGTTCGGTTCGGTTTTTCGATTTTTTTCGAATTCTGCTCACCTCTATCGTCAAGTAGGTAACTTCGCTTATGGAGCTACATCACTCAACTGCAACCAATTTGATTCTGTATGACGGCTAAAATTGATCATAAAAAATAAATACAAAGTATTGAACGATAAAATCAGAAGTATTCACTAAATTTAAAAAAAATCAAATATTAAGTGCTTTTAAAAAAAAACTCTATAAAGCTGACTTGTCATTTTATCTGTTGAGCTCTCCTTTATATCTTTTTTTTTTTTTTGTAAATTTTCTGATTTTTTTTAATAACTTTTTGAATATTTTCTTTTTTCTTTTACAAATTTAATCTAATCTAATATTTAGTAAGCAGATAAAATGTAAGTTAACTCAATTTTGAAATCTTAGTTAAATTCAATTTTGAAATCTAATTTTATCCCTTATTATCAATCAACTATTCTCTTTTTCATTTTTGTTTCTCCTAGAAGAGGAGTAGCATTTTATTGGAAATTTATAGACTATGTATGTTTAATCTCGTGCTCTTTTAGTTCTTTCTTGCTTCTTCCGCTATTCAGCTACTCTTTTACTTCTTTCTTGATTTTTATTGAGAATTCAATTTATCTTATTATTAAAATATAAGTCATTGATGAATCAACTAAATCTGCAAAAAGCTTCACGAGAAAATTTCAGTTTTTGAGTGAATGTTTACTTCAGTTGGTGTTTTAAAAATCATTGTACTAAGATCTCATAGAAGAAGAGTCTACATATTGATTAACAACCATTAGATTTTTTTTTTTTTTTTAACAACCATTAGATTTTTTTTTTTTTTTTATCTCTTATAATATTTATTTCTACAATTGGTAGAATTATTGTTGAATTGTATATTTTATTTTTTAGACACTATTCTCGATTTTTTATTTTTTTCTCTTATGATATTTATTTCTACATTTGGTATAATTATTATTATTGAATTGTATATTTTATTTTTTTAGACACAATTTTCTTTTAGTGTAGGATAAAATTTAAAATTTTTCCATTATGAGAGATATTATCTATATCAATACCTAATAGGGTAGTTAAATCCTAATATAAATTCTCGCAATAACAATAATATAAAACTGACCAATAAAATATAACATTTGTACATTTAATTCTTAAAATTATTTTTGAAATTAAAATAACTACTTATTTAATTTATTGATATTTTAATATTTAAAGTTAATAAACTTTTAAAACGTGGAATTAAATTGAAATTTTTATAATTCAAAACATTAATTCTTAAAAATTATGTAGATTATGAAATAATATAAATACATTAAAAATAGTTTATAAATTATAAATAAATTGTAAATTATTATAAACTATAAAGTATAATGTATAGCAACAAAATAACCACGCAGTGCGCGAGCCTTTACTTAGTTATATATATAAAGGAGAATAATGGCTATTCTCATGTGCGCTTATGTGGCATCTCCATCAAAAAGAGGAATTCATATAATTTGAGTATTTGATTTTTAGTTGATTAAAAAAAATTTTGACTCTTAAAATTAAATTTTATGAGTTGTAAATTAGAAAATATAACTCTCATATTTAAGATTGTCTGTATTGTCTTAATATAATTAATGTCCTAATTATTATTCCTCCCACCTTAAATTTGTAAAATTACTCAAATATTTTTATATTTTTAATGGAATTAATTAATGATGATTTATGATAATGTTTCAATTAATGACGATTCGTGCATAAATTGGGAAAATTTTGTCTATTGTATTTATTTTTTATAACAGATAAATATAAATATATTATTTTAATATTAAGTTTGTTCTATATTAATATTGCAGGTGAAAAGTTATTAGTTATATGGATTTTGGATTAGCAAAGATAAAAATTAATCAAAAATAAATACTTGCAATTAATGTCATTTTTTGCATGTGCCAAATTAATTTTGAGATAAAATTTTAACATTAAATTTGTTCTATATTAATATTACAGGTGAAAAAATGTATTAGTTATATGGATTTTTGATCAACAAAGGCAAAAATTGACCGAAAATAAATATTAACAACTAATGTCATTATTTGCATGTGCCTTAATTTAATAAAATGATGACATAGCCATCTTAATTTGAATAAAAGTCTTTGTCTTCTTATTTTCCTTCACATGTTATCTTAATAATCATGTTTCACTTTAATTAGCATAAAATTTTTAAATTCTACATGATAATATTTAAATTTAAATCATGAAATATTATACAACTGTGCAAAGCACGGAAAACCACCTCGTATATAATAAAGGAGAATTATGAATTTTTGTTGGATGTTGACATATTACTTCCTTTGAAGAGAGCGAGAGTCTCTAATATTTGAGTAGGTTTTAAAAAAAAAAAGATTGTATTTGAGTTTTATTGCTCTGTTAATTAATGTCTCCCCCATTAAGAACTATTTCTCATCTTTATCTCTTTAACGCATTAACTTTATGAGTTATCCCCTAATCAAAAGTTTTGCTTTTTTTAATATTAACTACTGAATTTTTTTTAAGTAATAATCAAAATAAATTGCTTCTTGACTAATACCTTTAATAAATTAATATGTCCATACATTTCAAAACTTCTATGTATATGTTTATTTTGATAAAGATATACGATTAACCATGCACATGTAATATTATAGTTTTGATGTTTTTTTTTGAACAATTATTTTTATTTATTTAATTGGAGATTAGCATTAAATGAATAATTTTTTAGCATATTTTATAATAATAGTGTTAGTACATTTTGTATGTATCTAACTGGACCAAATAAAGAATGATTATTTTATACTGACTATTAAAATATATTCTCTAGGAGATTAGAAATAAGATTTATGTTCTTAATCTTGATTTAATTAATATGAGCAAATATACACTGTTTTGTGTTTAATTTATTAAAGAAAGAGTTTCATTTATCGAGACAATAATTCTCATTGAATTAGGCAATGACAACTTGTATTTGTGAAATATCAATTAATGATAAAATTCATGTCTCGGTTTAGAGAATGATGATGCACTTTAAGTAAGTTTATAAAGTTTCATTGTGTAAACCCTGCAGATGGATTTTTAATTCGACACATGAAATAAGTTAAGTAACAATCTTAAAAATTAAAATTGTTATTTAAATAAATTGTCAGTGATTTATTTTATTTGATAAGCATGTGTAGTCTTTATATGGGGAACACAAATTATTATGTTGTGGAAAGTTAAATTAATAAGGAGTTCAATCATGAATATTTAGTGAAATAATTTATGATTAATTATAATAAGAATATACTGGTCCTGTATGAATTCTTATTACAGTTTATAGCCTTATTAATTTATTCCTACGGTCCCTATTGTGCCTTAATTAGTTGGACCGTATGGATTCTTATTACAATCTATAGCCTTATTAATTTATTCCTACGGTCCCTATTGTGCCTTAATTAGTTGGACCGTATGGATTCTTATTACAATCTATAGCCTTATTAATTTATTCCTACGGTCCCTATTGTGCCTTAATTAGTTGGACCGTATAATTAATAGATTAATTTTTAATTTAAATTTTTATTCATTTATATTTTTAACCCTATTGTGCCTTAATTAGTTGGACCGTATGGATTCTTATTACAATCTATAGCCTTATTAATTTATTCCTACGGTCCCTATTGTGCCTTAATTAGTTGGACCGTACGTAAGTTATGTATTTTAAATAATTAATAGATTAATTTTTTAATTAAATTTTTATTCATTTATTTTAACTAAAAAAGGGATAATATGTTTTATTTAAAATATTAACCGTGTGGGTAATAGAACAATATAATTTTATCGTTCGCTTCCTACGCGGATAAGAGAGGATATTCGTTTTTGAATACCCTCTTCCTATAAAATAGTATTCAGAGAAATGAAGGGTGGACTAAAGAATTATATGTACTGTACTTTTTCGTCCACTCAGAAAACTAGAATCTATAGAATCAATTAAGGTCACACAATAAAAGATTGTAGGGTGATTTGAAGAATTCTAAAAAGAAGACCGGTGAGCGATTCTACGCTACAACAGGTCAGTTCTTGTATGATTTGTGGTTTTGGTTTGCTTTCGTACTCGTTTCGATCCTGGATTGCTTCCGCTGCATAATTCTTGACTCCCAATATCAATTGATATCAGAGTCTTTCGAAACAAGGTGGCATGTTCACCTGTTAATTATTTATCATGTTTTTATTAGATTGTTTTTGTGTTTCATACGATACATGATAACTGTATTTTGTAAATAATTGTTTTCTATTTCTATTCGATTATGTGATTATATACGTTATATATATTTTTTTAATTGTTTTGATATAGATTTTATGAAATTGGTTTGTTGAAAATCAATCTATTGTGGATTTTCTTTTTTAAAGAAAATCGATTTTGCTGAAATCTGTATCGTGAAAACGTTTTAGATATTTTTTATTAAATTTAAAAAACAATTTTTGAAAATCAATTCTGGAATCATGTTCTTACGAAGAACATGAAGAACATAAAGAACTTGGAATAATGGCCAAATTGCCCAGAACAACACGAACAGTAGTGCCGTTGACGGAGGGCCATGCGAAGGTCTACAACCGACATAGACTCACCTTCGACAATGTCTGATTCGTCATTATTGGGTCTCAAAATTGGCTGTGCCCTTTGAAAATCGAACGAGTTTTCTAGAAGTCGTGTTTATTGGGCGATTGTACTTTGTGTGTTTTGCTCGACAACGAGCTTGCCGGTGTCGGAATGCATGGCTAGCGGAAGTGCAAGCTTTGCACGACCATTGGACTCCTAGTC